TCCTTGACATTTCTGAAAGTCTCCAATTCCCCGAAAATATTGCAGTCAATTTTCTGGGCTTTTTCAGTATTCCCCTCCCCCCTTTTTTTTTTCTGTGCAAAATTCAACATTTTTGTTTTGCTTTGCTTTTCCAAAAACCTGTACAAATACCCCTCAGTCAGCCCAGAGGAATAATTTTCTCTGTTGCAAGAAAGTGTCATTAATGCACTAACAAGAATTTGGGCAGCTGCTGCCTGACTTTTGCAACCTCTCTTCCAGGCTAGGGAACGCTTTGGAATGGCTTTAAACTGGATGAGAGTAGGTTTAAATTAGATACTAAGAATGAATTTTTACTGTGAGGGTAGTGAGGCCCTGGCACAGGTTGCCCAGAGAAGTTGTGGATGCCCCATCCCTGGAGGTGTTCAAGTCCAGGCTGGATGGGGCTTGGAGCAGCCTGGTCTGGTAGAAGGTGTTCCTGCCCATGGCAGGGGGTAGGAATGGCATGATCTTTAAGGTCCCTTCCAAAACAAACCATTCTGTCATTCTGTGAACTTTGTGCCCATGTTCCAGGATGGTAAACCAAGGCCATACTGGAAACTGCTGCCGGATCCAGCTGCCCTGACATTAAGAGAGCACACGTAAGGCCGCATCCATAGGGCGATGTCCACACAGCTCCCAGCCACCACTTTCAAATTCTAGCCATGGAAATAGTTCCTGGGTGCAGGGTTGGACCGTGCAACTCGGATCCCAGCAGGAATCACGCCCACTGCACCCCCATGCTGCGTCCTAAGGAGGTGATGCGTGTTGCACCGAACGTAGGCAAAAACGTGACTTGTCCTTTCCTTCCAAGTTTCCTTTGGAGAATATAAAAAAAAAAAAAAAAGAAATAAAAAAAAGAGAAAACATTAAAACAGGAGGATGAATCACAGCTTAGTCAGAGTTGGGGCTCGTCAGAGCAATTGCTGATGGTGCTGGCATTTTGATGCCGGGGGCAGGGTGCCAGGAGAGGCTGGCTGGTGACCAGCGGGTTCTTCCAAAGGGGACGGGGAATTAAGTCCAGGATTCTTATGGTAGGATGCATCCAAAGCCTAATTCCACTGTTCAGGATGAGTTACTAGGTGAGTTTGATGTTAGAGCAGCAGTGGAACATAAGAGGGAATTGAGGGAGTTTGGCTCTGATGTTTTGGAGAAGTTTGCAGCCTGTAAACCCTGTAAGAGATGGGTATCCTGTTCTCACAGAAACAGGTTATTTCCCCCTTTTCTGCCAGACTTCCCCTCTTTGCACTGCCCTTTCCTCTTCCACCTCTCTGTACCTGCTACCTTCATCCCTCAGACACTCAAGGTCATTTTTTCCCCCATCCACCACCAGGACTTTCAGATTTTAAGCCCTGCATCACATTTATAACCCCGTCCCTTTGCATTTATTAAGTGGTCCCTGAAATGGGGTGGGTGAAGCAGCAGCTCCAGCCAGCGCTGGCTGGTTTATCCCACCCTCCACATGCTCCATCACACAGCACAGAAGAGGATGTGGGACAGCATCCCTGGCTGTCCCGTGGCATCCTGCGCTTGTTGTGCCTCTCAGCGAGCTGACACACCTCTTACTGACAGCATTCCTCCCCCTCAGTGACTTGATTTCTGGAAAAATCGCTGAGCTAAGCACCCCCGTGGGCTCCTTCCACAGCAGCTGCGAGCAACAGCTTATTTACCGGTCTGGGTGCTATTAATAGGGAGCTGGGACTTTGCATGGCACAACTTGAGAGGGGAAAAATAATCCTCTCAGAGCACCTAGTGAGACATCCTGCTCACCACCCTCTCCCCAGGGTGAAAGTGCCTTATAAATAGTAATGGTTCTTCCAGCTGACCTCCCTCGGAGCAGCTGGGTGCTCGTGCCCCTGAAATCCAGGCCATTTATTTAGGAGTTGAAGCTTTCCGCTCCAGTTATTCAGGAGTTTTTAAGCCAAGAGTTACTAGGTGGAGCTAATTTGAAGTGACTGTGATTTTAATTCAGGCAGGGTTTCGCTTTCGGGCTCCTTTTGATTTTGTGGGGGTGGTGACTTGTGAAGCCACAGAGAGGAGAGTGAGCTGCTGGAGGAAGGGGGATGATGCCCAAATTCCTTGTCCTGTAACATCATGTGAATATTTGTCCTACTTCTGATTCATGTTTTAGCTGGCAACTGAGCTTCTGTTGCCCTCCATGTGAAAAGGATTTGGGGATTTTGGAAAAAAAACAACCCTCCTGGCCTTTCCCAAGGATGGATTTTGTGCACAGTGGTCCAGGGACCGCTGTTGTGCCTGATCCCCATCCCACATTTGCCAGCTGGAGCACTCACTGCTCTCTCCCATCTTCCTTCCCACATCCCAAATCTGGTTCTTTTCCAGCTCCCTCATAGTAGCTATTTAAAAATTCCCTTTTTTTTTTTTTTTTCTTTTTTGCCTGTGAATATTTTTTCCCTGTGTAGGAGAGGGAAGGATTGTGCATTTTTTACTCCAACCATCTTGGCTCCATGTAAGGAATTGGCCAAAAATACCTTCTTTCTAGATGTGTTAACAAATACAAGCCTTTGCTTCCAGGGGAGGAAAATGCCCTATATAATAAAAGAAGGGGTTTGAATGCTTTAAGTAGCTGAGATGCTCCTTATCGGGCTTTAAATTTTCAAGCAAAATTTGCTTTATTAAACCCCATCAAAGCAGATGCTCCCACCTCTGCGGCTCTTCCCACCTATCACATATTCCCACTTCTCCCTGCTGTGGCACGTTCCCACCCAGCATCCTGCCAAAAGGACCCCTCTGTGCCAGGTGGGATAATCCTCATAGCTAAGGCAGTGTTAGGGTGCAAGGGGAGGGTGTTGAGCATCTTTAGGACTTCAGTGTCACCATAGGAATTTTCTGAGTGGCTCCTGGACGATGTCCCAACCCCTCTGTGCTGCAAACACAGGCTGTGTCGGGGTGTGAGTATTGCTGGGGTGCTGTTTGCAGCCTCACTGAAGGTGGAAATGAGACTTGTAGGAACCTGGTGAGCAGATTAAAGAGTTTAATAAACTAATAGAAGAATGAAAATTTAGAAAAAAGAATAATAATAATTACATATTTATCATAGGTGAATATACATGACGGATAGACAAATAATAGAACGAAAATATTGAAATATTAATGAATTATTAATGAAATAACAAATAATAAATATGAAACCAACGAGATTAATAAATTAAAAATAATAAGAGAAATAAATAATAAATCAATACTAAGCACCCGTTTGAGAGCAAAGGTTTCCCGCGGAGCATCCCCAGCGCTCCCGCCGCTTCAGCCCCTTGCGGGGAGGGACGGAGGGATGCGGGGGGGGGTGGACCAGGCGCCTCCCGGGCGCGGATGCGGGCGCGGAGCGGGGCGGAGCAGCCGCGGTGGCCGCGGGCGGAGGAGGAGCCGCCGCATCCCGGGCATCCCCTCCGGGGGAGGCGGCCCCGGCACCGCATGTGCGACGTGAGGGACGTGCAGGAGCGCAGACACCGGCATCCCCCGGCCCCCCGGCATCCCCTGAGCCCCCCCCCGGCATCCCTCGAGCCCCCTCCGAGCCCCCCGGGTCCCCCCGGCCCGAACCCTCTGAGCGCGGTGTGGGGGCGCGCCAGCGGAGCCCCCCGTCCCACCGCTGTGTACTTGGAATTAATTTATTTTATTATCACTTTATTATTTTATTTTTAAAATATTGTTATTTCTAAAATAATTTTTATTTTGTTTCTCTCGTTTTGATTTTTTTCAGTTAATTTTATTTTTATTTTTATTTTATAGAATTCTATTTTTTTAGTTTTTTTTTTCCCTTTTTAAAAATTTTATTCCATTTTTATTTTCTATATTTTTATTTTACTTTTTTCTTACTCCATTGTTATTTTCTACTTTTCTTAGGGTTTATTTGATTTTCCTCATATTTTTTCCCTTTTATTTCCTTTTTATCTGCTCAATCTTTACTTCATTTTATTTTCCCCTTTTTATTTCCTCGCTTTACCTCCTTTTCATTTTTCTAAATCATTATTTTTTTTTTAATTTCATTTTAATCTTCCCCTTTTACTTTTTATTTCCTTTTCGCCATTTTAATGATTTAATTATCATCATCGGTTTTATTATTTTTATTGCTTTTACTCAATTAATTTTCTAACACGGGAGAAGCGAGACGGGAAAGTTTTTTAACCGTACGGTTTTTTAGCTTGGGGGAGCCTTCACACACCCACCCCCCCTGTAATAACACCTCCATAATCCCCCCCCTCGCTGTCGCATCCTTTGGTTTGGGGGGTCGGTGGTCGCGTCCCCGCGGGGAACAAAGCGGGTCCTTTGTCCGCGCTGCAGTTCCAGGGGCGGGCGGCGGGGGGCAGCACTGCCCGGGCCGCGCCGCATCCCCCCCTTCATCCTCCCCCTCCTCCTCCTCCCCATCCTCCCCCTCCTCCTCCTCCCCATCCTCCTCCTCCTCCTCCTTCCCCGCCTCCTCCGCGGCTCCGCAGCGCCCGCCCGGCCCCTCCCTGCCCTCCCCGCCCCGCGGGGCGGGCGCCGCCGGGCCCGGCCTGTCGGGATAGAAATAGGCGGCACCGGAGCTGCCGGCACATCGCGAGCGGAGCCGGGCAGGGCGGCAGCCGAGACCGCAGCAGCAGCAGCGCCACGAGCAGACCTTCTCAATCCTTTTTTCCCCGGCTGCCTCGCGTGGAGATTTTTCCTACTTTTTTTTTTTTTTTATGATCTTTTTTTTTTTTTTTTTTTTGCTCGCCCTCGCTCCCTCCCAGCGCGCAGCGGCAGCGCTGGTGCCGTTCCTGCCCGGCTTTGTGCCCTGAAGCCCCGTCCCTCCTCTTCCTTCTCCTCCTCCCCCCTCCTGCCGTAAAACCTTCACGAGGCTCGGAGCAGCAGCATCCGAAAGCGCCGCAGCCGCTCGCTGAAACCACCGACTGCAGCAAAAACCCTTTTTATTTTTTGTTACATATTTCCTCCCCCTCCTTCCTCTTTTTTATTTTTCTCCTCCTCCTCTCCCCCGCAAACGCATCAAGGTGGACGCGGAGCGCAAAAAGACCTTTGTTTTAAAAATGCCCATGGAGCTGACGCAAAGCCGCATCCAGAAGATTTGGCTTCCCAATGACAACCGCCCGGCGCTGCCCCGCCGCTGTGAGTACGGGCACCGCAGCATCCCCGCGGGATGGGACGGGATGGGATGGAGGGGTGGGTGGGAAGCAGTCCCCGTCCTCTGCGCTCCCAGAGGGGGCTCTTTGCAGCGCCCTCCTCCCTCAGCATCCGTGCAGCATCCCGCTTCCCCCCTCCTCTGCCTGCTCCAGCATCATCCCCGTGCCCGCATCCCACTCGCTGCCATCCCGTGACTCACTTCCAGCCCTTGGGAGCTGGAGGAAGGTGCAGCCGTCACATGGCCCCGCGCAGCGGAGGATGCGGGGAGGTGCTGAGACACGCGTGGCCCAATTTCCACTCCCTCCTCCCCGCTCCCCCTCTTGGCTTCCAGCCCTGGGATTAAAAGGAAAGGGAGCAGGTTGTTCACCTCGGCGCCCGGTCACCGGCTCAGCAGGGATTTTTCAGGGTGTCACAGAGTCATGAATGGTTTGGATTGAAAGGGACCTTAAAGCTCATCCTGTTCCAACCGCACTGCCGTGTGCAGGGACACCTTCCACTAGACCAGGTTGCTTCAAGCCCCATCCAATTAGTGCATTATAAATTTTTATTTTTTTTGGAGGTGGAGGCAGGATTAGGGAAATGGATTTAGGGAAAAAAACCCCAGCGGTTTGCACTTTATCATTTAAACCTGTGGGATGAGATAAGAGACAGGTGGAGGGGAAGGCAGAAATTAATGATGAAACTTCTGCAGTGCTCTTTGAAGCTCAGAAAGATCCTTGAGGGGTTAAAACCAACCTCTGAGTTTAAAAAAGTAAATAATATATATATATATAAATAAAATCAAATGTTTAGGTCATCCGGGTGTTACTATAAATCAATTCATGAATCATAATACAATCTGAAAGCTCAGGAGGCAGCTCCTTTAACTCACCCAACAGCTAAACTGACAACCTACCAGTTGTGCAACTCCGTGTAACTCTAAATGAGCATCGCACGAATCTGCAGAGCCGGGATGGAGGAGATGGCACTGGATGAAGGATAGAAGTGGCTTGGGCAGTTGGGTGAATCAGTCTTTCCGATGCTTTTCTTCATCAGGCATTTAAAGTTCGCTTCTCTTGGCTGGAAAGTATCCCCTTTAAAAAAAATAATAATAATTTTAGAAAAAGCAGATATCCTATGAATTTGCCAGCTGTTGTTGCCCGGGGCTATGGGTCAGGCTCCCTGGAGCAGATGTTGGGACGTGCTGCCTGAGCCTGGCAAGGGCAGCTCTGCAGCAGGAGCTGCTGAGGAAATGGGATTTTAGCAACAGGCTAAACATCTGGGTTGCCAAGGGGCTTTGGTCTGAGTGGGGTAAAATGGCTTAATGCTTTGCATGTGTGTCTGTATGGCTTGACTTTTCTCAAGGACTGACACCTCTGAAAGAAATGCCTTGTGCACGCAGAGTCTCCCAGTGTTTCTTGCCACTTGGTTTCTCAGAGGAGAGAATTCCCTCTTGGTAGAGGAGAAAACTAACATATTTAGTATATTAAGGCACTAAGGGGCTTATTAATAACACAATGTGGCTTCTAATTATTTTTTCTCGGGCTGGGAACAAGCCATGCTGGGCACTTTTTGCTATGCAATATGGGAAGAGGGTTGTTAGGCTTTTTTAGATCTTCTTCTTTTTTTTTTTTTTTTTTTAACACAGGGTGGCTATTTTAAACTCGAGGTGCTATTAATTCCTCAGCAGCAACAAAGAGCAGAGCCACAAAGCTGGGTGGGAAGTGGGGGTGTAACGGAGACCACGGCCGGTGTGGTCCCTGGAGGGAGCGGGAGCATCCCTGGGAGCATCCTCTGGAAGCTGCTCCCTGCGCGTGAAATAATTAGTCCGATTGTCGCTTCCTCGTCAGTGGGAGGCTGGAGTGGCTCGGAAGTGGTGCCTTCATCTGGCCTTTTGACGGCGATCCATTAAATTGCTGTCAAGCTGCACGTCTCTCACGTAGGGGCTGGGAAAGTCAAGTCGTCGCAGGCGCCGGGTGGGCAGAGCCAGGCGAGGGGAGGGGGCTCGGGAGGGGGATGCTCCAGGAGGGAAGGGGCTGCCGCTGCCTTTCTCTGTCCCATCACTTCTCTTTGCCATCACTCCCGCTCGGGGGCTGTGCCTGTAAAACCCCGGCTGGCGCGTTTTCGGGGCGGTAGCGGTTCCACGTGCGCGTGTGATGCAAAGTGCAGAAACCTTCATGCGTGAAGGTGTCAGGGGATTGCAGTGAGAAGAAACTGCAGAAGGGGAATGTAGGGCTAATGTAGAACATGTGGTGTGGGGGATCACTTATACGAGGAGACCGTAAAAGTGCCTGAAGTGGGGAGGTGGCTGTTTTATCCGACCTGTTAGAGAAGCAAATTTCCTTCCCTCTTGTGGTTTGTATTGTTTTGTTGTGTTTTTTGTTTTTGCTTCCTTCCCTCCCCTGTTCTGGTAAAGCACAAGAGCTCATCAGTGCTGACTTTCTGGCAGCTGTAAGCCACACGTGATGAGCGCCTTCTAAATATCCCGACTGAGCCTGAAAGTCATCCCTGACCTTGACTTACCTGGCTAGATATGGATAAGCAGTAATGAATATCCATTGAAATCCCCGATAGCTTCCCAGCAGTGGTGAAAAGAAATTATGAATGAGGTCTTTGTGAAACACTGAGCAAAACACTGGTTTCTGTTTCATCCCTGATGCGAAGTTTCTCCGGAGACTTTTTTGTGATTTAGTTGGGTTTGGGCTCAGATTCCTGATAAAAAGTTCCTTGCTGGATACCCTGGTGTTCTGGGAGCTGCTCCCAGGTCTGTAAACAGATGCTTTTTCATGGTCCAAGGGGAACCTGGATCTTGACCTTTGCTTTGGCAGAAAAACAAATTGTGGGGAGATTCCTCAATTCCTCCTGCAGCACCCTTATGTGCCACCTCTGGGACTGTCACAGATGTCTGGAGCCAAAGGCACATGAACAGTACCCAGTATTGTCCCCATCCTCTTGAACTGCTATTAATGGCCCAAAATCCTCTTGGCTCTTTGAGATCCTTTGTCCACTCTTAAAGGAAGGGTTTCTTTATTTGGGTATTATTCCCTCCTCCTCACTTTATCTAATAAGTGTGTGGGTTTTGTTGCAAAACCAGACTTGCAGCCATAGGTTGTGAGAGGAAGTGAAACTGTTAGAGGGGAAACAAAGATTTTTTTCTGGGTATATTGCTCAGCTCCCTTGGCACCCAAGCGTGGAAAATTGGCACTTGCTGCCAAAATCGATGAGAGCTGCCCTGGGCTTTTGAAACGCAGCACTGGGGAGGCAGGTTCTACAAAGGGAGTGAGTGTGAGGGCAGCTCCAGCCTGAGGAATGTGGAATATTTATGAAAAGAAGAAAAAGAGAAAATATATTTTAGATAGTTTTTAATCTCTTGCCTGCTGAGTCTGCTTTGGTGAGACAACGAGGAAGATGATGGGAGGCTCTTCTGTGCTGTCTGGGTACCAGCGCTGTCACTCTTCCTTGTGGTCTTAATTTGGTTTCTTCAGCTGTTGGATTTATTTTTTTCCTAGAAAGCAAAGGGAATCCCACGTAATTTGCATGTTTTATGGATACCTCTCAGTTTTGTTTGCCCTCTCCAGATCTAATCTGAGTCTCCATCCTCGGGTCCCACCTGCAGGCAGCTGGGACAGGCAGGCAGAGCTCTCCACCTAGACCATAATTAAGCTGGGGTTTATGGCTCTGCCACCAACCACTCACTCCCTGCATTCCTTTCCCGTGAGGTCTCTGGGCTCACCGGGTGGGTGGGAGGGAAATCCCCTGGAGGGTCTTGCCTGTCCTGCCCTTGCTGGGAGGGCTCTTGGAGTGTCACACTGGGCGGCATGAAAGGCAGCTGGCTAATCTAAATTCCATTAGGCATCATTAAGATCTTCCTTTCCTGGCTTTGTGCCTTGGCCTTGCCCGTGTGCAGCACCATGTGAGAAGCAATTCTTCAGAGCAAGCCCTAGAGAGGAGCAGGGATGCAGCCAAGGGAGAGGGATGCTGCCTCATTACATGTTCCACGGAATGTGTGGTCCAGATGCATCCCCTGACACTGGAGCTGCAAAGTACTAAAAAAAAAAATTCCCAAACTGTATTCCCAGTCCTGTAACCTCAGCAGTTTCCTCTGAACTGAACCAGGAATTTGCTTTCAAAAGGATTTATGGGGGGAGAAAGTGATTCACCTGGGCAGCCTGGCAGCTGATTTGTCTGCATTTTGGTCATGCCATTCAAGTGACTTGGACAGGAATTTCTCTTCACTTGCCAAGTCATTGCTAAGTGCTGCCTCTGGATTTTATTTCCAGCTGTTTGACATGGATGCTCTTTACCACAAAAAAACCCCCAAACCAACAACCTAGCTTAAAATAGGTTTATGAGAAAAAAGGGATAAATTACTTGGATATCTGCTTTTAAATGCTGATGGTTCTGTGGTCTTCATACCCTGTTTGTCTTCAGAAAAACAGTTGGTTGCATTTGCACGTGTATCAGTTAAGAATCTAGTCAAATATTTTGGAAGATGCTCTCTGGGTGAAGATCTCTGTGCAGACCTGGTATCTCGGCACAGCAGCAGTGTCTGAAGTGTGCTGCTGCAGGACCTGGACCAAAGTACTTGGCCATCCTCCAGCTTTTCACAGAATTGGCCAATCCACAGAAATGGGAGGTTGTGATTGCCTTGTTTTCTTTTGTTTTTTTGGTTGTAAGTAAGGAAACTGAAGCGTGGAGACTCTCCAGGGAGCCTGGGCCAGCTGCTGGTTCCTTGCCTACTTTGCAGCCATCAGGATGTTCTTACCATGGCTTTCAGGCTGTGATTGTCGTCCCCCCCTGGTTTGGGTGACACCAGGGTGAATTTGGGTCAGCATGGCTTAGCTGGGCCAGCTGTGTCTCACCAGTGGGAAGCCATGGAGCCATCCACCATGCCTCCTGCTCAGGGTCTTGATTGTCCAAACTCATGAGAGGGATGTACAAGAGATTACAGAGGTGATGGCGCACAAAGAACACAGGTTTTGGATTTTCTCGGCTGCTGAAGGATTTAGGGGAAGGCTGAGTAAAGAGCCTTGTAGGGTTGATACAAGATGAGCTGGAGGATTCACAGCTGCTCATGTTCTTTCTCCTCCTCCTCCTCATAGCCTGTGGGCCACAGCTTGCCAATTCCCCCACTGTGATAGTGATGGTTGGCCTCCCAGCCCGTGGGAAGACCTACATCTCCAAGAAGCTGACCCGCTACCTCAACTGGATCGGTGTCCCTACAAAAGGTGAGGCATTCACTGGCTTCCTGGGGGAAGCATGAGGTCTGGTCCTCAGGAGTTGCTGTAGGAGCTCAGTGCCTTGGGATGTAGTGGGAGAGCTTTCCAAAATCGGATGGGCCAAATATTGATGTTTTGCCATCATTTCTGCTGCAACCTGGGTCCTCCTTCACTTCGAGATCAAGAGATGTCCCTTGAGCCCTTTGCTCTAAGGATGTAATTTCTTATCACTTTGCTTGCTTTAATTGCAGAAACTGTACAGATGAGATGAGCTCCTGGTTTTGATGGTTTTTGTCTCTCCCAAATAGTTTTCAACGTGGGGGAATATCGCCGTGAGGCCGTGAAGCATTACAGCTCCTATGACTTCTTCCGTCCTGACAACGAGGAGGCCATGAAAGTCAGGAAGTAAGTGTGGGCACTGCCTCCATCCTGGTGAAGCCCATGGCTGGAGCACAGTTACCCAGTTTGTTCCGGGGTGATGAGCAGGGCTCTACTTTTGAGTTCTCCCTGCCTGGCCAAAGAGGCCTGACTTGGGTGCCAAGAGCTCAAAACTGAAGCTGCGTGGGCTTGGTAGCTTCAGGGTCACCAGCACATCCAGAGGACATCAGGATCACACATCTCCTCTTTTGCAGGCAATGTGCCATGGCTGCCTTGAGGGATGTCAAGCTGTACCTGACAGAAGAGGCTGGACAGATTGCGGTAAGAACGGAGATGCGCTCCACGGGATTTTGGCAAGTCCCAGTCCTGAACGCCCTGTGCCATTTGCTCTGCAGTTTCTTCCCTGAGGAGGGGCTCAGTGGGAAACCAGGCACTTGTTGTGCTAACTGAAACCTTTGCTTTTAAAGGTTTTCGATGCCACCAATACCACGCGGGAGAGGAGAGGGATGATCCTAAACTTCGCCAAAGAAAATGGATTTAAGGTTGGTACCGTGGGGCTGATGCCTGAATTGCATAGTCCACCTTTAGTGTACTGTTACTGTATCTTCTTTCACTAACATGTTGTCCTCATGATGCTCCTGTGTAAGGGATATTTCATTGCTGGGTTTGATTAAAAATGTGAAACTCTTCCCTCATTCCTCATAACAAGTCCTGGAGAAGGAAACAATGGGAGTAGGGCAGAGGGAGAGCTCTCTAGGCTAGCAGGGAGGAGGTTGGGTTGGGCAAGGAGCTGGTTGAGTGTTAAAAGCCTTGTTGGCTTTCAGCTGAGGTTTGCTTTGTTTCACAGGTGTTCTTCATTGAATCTGTCTGCAACGATCCCACTGTGGTTGCCACCAATGTAATGGTAAGTGTGGAAGTGTCTTGCTTTTGTTTTCCCTCCATAGACAAGTAGGAAGCCTGGTTCTCATGGTGGACTTCAACCACTCTGGTATCTGTTGGAGGGACAACACAGCATGGCACAAGCAATCCAGGAAGTTCCTGGAATGTGTTGATAATAACTTCCTTCCCCAAGAGAGAGGAGACAACAAGGAGAATGTGCTGTGTTGCACCTTGTCACCACCAACAGGGAAGGGCTGGTGAGGAATGTGAAGCTCAAGGGCAGCCTGGGCTGCAGTGACCATGAAATGAGACCTTAGCAGAGCAGACTTTGGCCTCTTCAGGAATATGCTTGGTGGAGTACCAGGGGATAAAGCTCTGGAGGAAAGAGGGAACCAAGAAAGCTGGATCATCTCCAAGTTCAGGTGTGATGCTTTACCAACAAAGAAGTAATCAAAAATGTCAGGAGGCCTGCATGGATGAACAAGGAGCTCCTAGACAAACACCAAAAAGGAAGCCTACAGAGGATGGAAGCAAGTAGAGGCAACCTGGGAGGAATACAGAGATTGTTTGAGTAGCCGGGGATCAGGTTAGAAACAATAAAGCCCTGACAGAATTAAATCTGGACAGGGATGTCGGGAACAACAAGAAAAGCTTCTATAGGTACATTTGATGATAAAAGGAAGACTAGGGAAAATGTGGGCCCTCTCCAGAAGGAAATAGGAGGCCTGGATACTGGGGATATGGAAAAGGCTGTGGTACTGAATGACTTTCTGCCTCAGTTTTCACCACCAAGTGCTCCAGCCCACTGACGGAGTTGTAGAAGGCAAAGGCAAGGACTGGGAGAATGAAAAGTCACCTACTGTAGAAGATCAGGTTTGTGACCATCTAAGGAACCTGAAGGTCTACAAGTCCATGGGACCTGATGTGATGCATCTGTTGTCCCTGAGGGAACAGGTGGATGAAGTGAGGAAACCACTATCCATCACATTTGAGAAGTCATGGCCATCCAGTGAAGTTCCCACTGACTGGAAAAGGGGAAATATAACCCTCGTTATTAAAAAGAGGAAAAAAGGAGTCTTGAGAAACTGCAGGCTGGTCAGTCTCACTTTGGTGTTTGGCAAGATCATGGATGAGATCCTCCTGAAAACTATGCTGAGGCACATGGAAAATAAGGAGGTGATTAGAGAGAACCAACATGGCTTCACTGAAGGCAAATCGTGTGTGACAGGCAGGGCTTGGTATTGGGACTGGTGCTGTTTAACATCTCTGGTGACATGGACAGTGGGATCAAAGCACCCTCAGCAAGTTTGCCGATGACACCAGGCTGTGTGGTGTGGAGGAAGGGATGCCATCCAGAGGGACCTGGACAGGCTGGAGAAATGGGGCCTGTGCCAATCCCATGAAGTTCAAGAAGGCCAAGTGCAAGGTGCTGCACCTGGGTCAGATCAATCCCAAGCACAAGTACAGGGTGGGTGGAGAATGGATCGAGAGCAGCCCTAAGGAGAAAGGGTGCTGGGCTGGGACTGGAGCGTGGCTTTTGCTCCTGTTGGGAGCTGTTGTCCCAGGGCCAGTGACCAGCTCTTTGAGAGGTTGCACACAGCCTTTTCCATGACGCTAATAAAACCCTCAGTTTGCTGCATCTTTTTTTTTTTGGAGGATTTTAATCCCTTTATTTGGAAACTAATGCTTGAAGGGGGAGAAAATGAATGTGGGATTTTGCTCCATGGGGGTGCTGCAGATGAATGGTGCTCGTAGTGCTGGGATCAGTGTGGAAAATACGCCATGGGCCCTGGATGCTGCCACATGTGTCACTCTGTTGTGTTATCCTGTTAGTTTCAGGATTGCCTTTGAAGTTACTAATATGTAATGCTGCTGTTCAAACCCAAATCTCCAGGGAAAATAGCCTGTTAGATTAGTTCAGGGGGAAAAATAGCCTGTTACATTAGTTCAAGCAGAACTCAGTCGATGGGAGTTCTGGATATTCATGTTGCCCATTTGTAGTATCTGTCAACCCAGTAACTTGCAGCAAACAGTGCACAGAAAGGGTTTGGATGTTGTTATGCAAATATCCTTTTGCTGACCCAGGATACGCATCTTGTCTAAGTTCGTGCACTTTCCATTCTCAGCTTGAATTTAAACCTGATGCTTTTTTTTTTAACCACAAGGAAGCTCAGTTTTCCCCACTGTGTTGGGTGGTGAGGTGCTCCACAATTCCTGGGAGAATGGGAGTGGACTGATGCACATCTATACTAACCATGCAATGGTTTATACCAGATTATCTCACTTTATGCTTTTTTTTTGGGTCTAACTCGCTTCTTTTGTGCCCCATGATAAGTGATGACTGTAAAGTGTCTCAGCTGTTTGCTGAATGTTGGCAGGACTTTGGAATTCGAGATTAGCATTGTTTGGCTGGGAGACCTTCCTGACCTCTCCTTGTGGCATGTTTTTTTTTTTTTTTTTTACAGGAAGTCAAATTGTCCAGCCCAGATTACCGGGACTGTAACTCCACTGATGCCATGGAGGACTTCATGAAGAGGATCAACTGTTACCAAGCCAGTTACCAGCCACTAGACCCTGATGACTACGACAGGTAAGAGACTTTGCTGACTTTTGAGCTGGCTTAAACACCTTCCTGCTCCCAGGAGAGAAGCAGTGAAGGATGAAGCTGTATTTCACTTTGTGTTCAAATACCTGACTGTGCTAGAGTAACGTATGGCCAAGCCTCACCTTGAAACCAGACTTTTTCCTTGAAAATGCTGGTTTTCCCCAGCCCTGTGCCAGGGAGTCGGGCACTGAAACTTTCCCAGGCTCTTCTGGGCTCAGATATGCTGTTTTCAACCCTGTTCTGCAGGTCTAAATACAAAGGGTTTGGAAAAGCGCTTGAGTTTGAGTGGTTGAGGTGCTTTTGTCATTGTCCCACTTAAAGGAAGGGATTGGTTTGCTCAGACCACAGGACTGAGCAAGCCCTGTGGCTTCTGCCTAGTTGTGTGCCCTGGGAAGACCTTTGCTGTCCTGTATGACTCTGCAGGCACCTCCCAGCCTTTCCACTGCTCACAAACACGTCTGTGTGCTCTACCCGGATTATTCCACTCCTGCTGATCCCTGTCATGGGGAGGAGCATGTTCCCTGTTAGTCCTGTTTAATCCTCTTTACTGCTGCAAGGAGGAATGGCGATTACACTGGTGTTATTCAGCTCTCTGTGAATCCCCATTACCTGTTGGCTTCCTGTTGAAAATAGCCTGCAGGAAATCCTTTTAGCTGGGTGATTATTATGCTGAGGGAGATAAGTCACAAGGCTGTTTCATGAGAATGATGTTTCTTTCTTTCCCTAGGGAACTTTCTCTCATCAAAGTCATTGACGTTGGCCGACGGTTCCTGGTCAACAGGGTTCAGGATCACATCCAGAGCAGGATTGTTTACTACCTGATGAACATCCACGTCCAGCCCCGTACCATTTATCTCTGTCGACACGGAGAGAGCGAGTTCAACCTCATGGGCAAGATTGGAGGGGACTCTGGCCTCTCCAACAGGGGCAAGAAGGTGAGGGAGAAGGGGAATACTCCCCTGTGGCTTCAAGGAGGGGTTTGGCTGTAGTAGATGCCATGTGTTGGATGAAGTGTATATTTGATGACAGCTGGGTTGCTCAGGATCCATCCATAGGGCTGGTTAAGTTTGGGCATGACCTCAAAACAAGACTTCCCAGCCATCATTGTTACTTGTAGTCTTGCATGTACTTAGGCCTTAACAGAGATTGGGCTGCAGAAAGCAAATAAGCAGAGCTATGATTAAGGATGGCCAGGGATTTTCCGTAACACTGTGGGAAAGCCCAGGTCATGGTGCTGTTTCCTGGGTGCTGATGTTCCTTGAAGACAATAGGTTGCCTCTTTCTCCTCTGCTTTCTCTCTGTTCTCACACCCCTTCTTGGGGATCGTTGCATGTGTGGCTGCTCATCACCTCGGAGCAGAAGACTAATCTGTCTGCTTATGGAGGGCAAAAGCAGACCTGAAGAAGTCAACACTTACTGGGAAGCAGGGAAGAAGGCCCATTGGGAAGCTATGGACCAGGAATCAACCTTTTTTTTTTTTTTTTTTATGCCCCACAGTTTGCGCTGGCGCTGAACAAATTTGTAGAAGAGCAGAACCTGAAGGACCTCAAAGTCTGGACCAGCCAACTAAAAAGGACAATCCAAACAGCAGAAGCTCTCCAGTTGCCCTACGAGCAGTGGAAGGCACTCAATGAAATTGATGCTGTGAGTATCTTTGATTGCAGTAGGAAGAGCTGGATCAGGCTGGTTGTTGCTTGACAAGAGAGAGCAATAGCACCAGACTCTTTGCTTCTGCTAAATCTCAGCTGTGATGGGGAGATTTTCCTTCTGTGGGAAAGGGTGATACCTCTGCAGGACTCACCTTTTGGCTTAGTTGTACCTTCTGCAGATTCTTCAAATGTTGTCTTGAGTTATAGGATGGTTTGGGTTGGAAGGGACCTGAAAGACCATCTGTTCCAACCTTGTGCCATGGGCAGGGACATCTTCCACTAGACCAGGTTTCTCCAAGCCCCATCCAGTGTGGTGGATTAAAATGATTTTTGCTTGGAACTGCTCTCTAGCTGAACCCTCACGGGGTTTTGGACAGTTGCTTTGGAGAAGGTTTTGCGTGTTGACTGTGCTGATGCTTTTTGACCTGAGTATGTCCAGTAACCATGGATGTCCTGTTCTGGCAGGGTGTGTGTGAAGAAATGACGTATGAAGAAATCAGGGAGCAACATCCAGAGGAGTTTGCTTTACGTGATCAGGATAAATATTACTACCGTTATCCTTCTGGGGAGGTAAGTCCCCAGGGAGACCTTCAGAGACATGACTTCTGCTTTTAATGTGGCCTTTTTGTCTTCATTCTGTCCTCTAAACTTGAGTAGTGAGTGCTCCAAGAAACTAGAATAGAGAAAAGTCAGGGCTTATATTCCCCTCTATGCTGAGCTCTTGTGAAATCGTGGTATGTGAAGATATCACTGAGAAATGCATCACTTAGCAAACAGTCCCACTGACTTTACAGCAGATTAGAAGGAAAGGGACTCTGGAGGTTTCTAGTCCAAGTTCCATCATTATATCCAGTCAAAGTGTTGTGCTGCCCCAATTTCCTTTTCTGTCATTTCCAAAAAAAGTAATTTTCACCCTGTTCTCAGTATCATTCCCTAAGGGTTGATGGTAACAGCTCTGTTATTAGCAATCTGCTTTCAGCGTGTGACACAATGAGGTGGGAATTTACATCAGTTCTGGATGATACTTTAGGCTGTGAATTGAGCTATTTATGCCCAAATTAAAAGTCATTTGGGAAAATAGACATAGACATTTGGGAAAAATCTTAGATACACTGTCATGAGGATGTTTCCAAACAGAGGAATGTGTGGAGATGTCAGACACCGCCTCTGGGTGTCTGGAGCTCGTTCTGGCTGCCTCTCGTGGTTCTTTATGAAGTCCTTCAAAACCCTGGCATTTCTCAGGTTGCTCCAGACTTTTCATAACTTATAAATCCTGTACAAAAATCAAATTTCAAGATGAGAGAGGGATACTATCCTGAGAGCCTCTATTGCTTACCTTAATAAAGTCTCCAGTACTGAGATGTGATTCACTGAGACGGGAACAGCTTCTTCTCTGATGGAAGAAGTATCTGTGTTCTAGAGTAGCCTGAAGATAAGGATTTACTTGTTTTTAGCAGTAATTATGTTAGTTTAGTCAGAGGCATGAAATCAGTGAATGTAACAAGACAAGGAGCATTGCTGCTCCTGAGGTGCTCGTTTCTTTGAGTCTATGCCTCATCTTCCTTCCTGTCTTTTGTCCCAGTCCTACCAGGATCTGGTGCAGCGCCTGGAGCCAGTCATCATGGAGCTGGAGAGGCAAGAGAACGTCCTTGTGATCTGTCACCAGGCTGTCATGCGCTGTCTCCTGGCATACTTCCTGGACAAGAGTGCAGGTGAGCGCCCTGTCTGTGGGAAGAGGATGGACCCTGCTGGAGGAGGGATGATGGATGCAGCTCTGCGGAGATGTGTTCAGGTCAATGTGGGCCTGGAGCATACATCTTGTTAGGTGTGGGGTGACCTTGGCTGTTGATAAAGATGCTTTTGGAGAGGAGGTGGGATAACCCTCCTGCTTTGCTGTCTCTGCAGATGAAATGCCCTACCTGAAATGTCCCCTTCACACGGTGTTGAAGCTGACCCCGGTGGCCTACGGTAAGTGGGACCTTCCTACTAAACATGTGGAGGGGTTTGACTTGTACCTCCTCCTGAATCCAGGCTGCCTCTGGGAGAAGAACAGGGATTTGTGGTGGAGCACTGGGCAACACCCAGTGCCTTTTGGGTTTGCTGATGGCCTCTCTGTCTCCTTGTGCTCCCCTCTGCAGGCTGCCGGGTGGAATCCATCTCGCTGAACATCGAAGCCGTCAACACCCACAGAGATCGGCCGGAGGTGAGTGTTGCTTTTCCTTGGAGCCATCCCTTGGTGGTCCCCTCCTGTCCCCTATGGTCAGCTGGCAGTGGGAACACCTGGAGTGGGCATGGGGAGATGGCTTAGCTGGGTGCTTGGAAGTGCTGCTGGTGGAGCATCAGATGGGTTCTTGCTCGGCAAAGTTGTGGCTGGTTCAGGGTTTTCCAAGGGAAAAGGAGCGTTGCATGTGCCTGCTTCCCAGTGTGTTTGCCCAGACTAGAGCTGGCCCAGGGAAAGCTCCTCCCTGGTCTTTCCCTTTTACCGGTACAGTCATCCATTCACTGAAGCAGGGATGGAGCCATGGGTGGAGAAGGTGACTTCTTCCAGGTCTCCCAGTTTTCTGGCAGAGCCTGGGCTCAATGCCCAAAATCTGACTTTGCAGATTTTGATTGTTTGTTTTTGTTTTTTTTTCCTAGTATGCCCATGGTACTGTGGGGCTACCAGAATGCCTTTCTGCTGGGTAGGGTGTGGTGGTGCTGGGCTGGGGATGCTGTGGGGAGGAGACCCCTCTTCTGAAAAAATTCCTGTAAGGGCTGGTCTATCTGCCATGTGCTCCGCTGGGAGCTCAGAGGCCAGAGAGTGGCGAGCTTGGTGTTGGGTCTGGATGCCCCGGGGATGTTGTACCCCTGTCCCAGATGCTGGGACCTTTCCAACTTGTGCTTAGTGGTGATGGAGCCCAACTGGATGCTGGACAGTCGGAGCCATCCTCTTTTGGCCCACGTCTCCTTTCCTTCACTTCCCGACCTTGGCAGGTGGCAGCATCTGGGCCACCTCTCCCTCCCCATGGCTGTAAGGGGGAAGCCAGTCCTTCCCCCTGCCGTGGGGGCCATCAGTGCCCTCCTCCACCACCCTTGCTGGAGGTGGCAGGAGGGTCAAGGGTAGGATGGAGCAAGGCACACACGAAGTGCTTGGGTCCCCTGCTCGGCTGCGTCGGCGCTGCCCCTCCATCCCTCCTCGCTTGAGTAGGAGCTTGGCAGTGCCAACCCTTGCTGGCTGCTCTGCTCCCACTTCCCAAGTCTTCCTTATCAGCTTGGGCTGGCTTGTCTTCCCTCTTCTTGCTTTCACACCTCTCCCTGGGCAGAGGGACCGGCTTTGAGGAGGAGAGACCGATGAGTGCCTCTCTCTGTTGTGCAAAGTCATGCCTTGACTGCTGCTCGGTGTTTTTAGCTATCTGTAGTTACTCTTTTGTGAGCAGAGACTTAGGTGAGGGGAAGGTCTTTTGTGTCTGAGTGCAGGGCACTTTATTTTTGGCCCCTCCCATTCTGTGCTCTTGAACACTTTTGTATCGGTTTTGGTTTTTTTTGTGTGTCCAGAGCCTTTTGTTTACTCATTGACAGTGATTGTGGGGAAAAACAGAGGCCACTTTAAGAAAAAAACCCAAAACAACCTGCTCCTTTTTTTTTTTCCTTTATAACTGTCGCCTTCTTCCCTTTTTTTTTAATTTTACTTTATTTTTTTTTATATTTACTTTTATTTTCTTTGTCTCACTTTAATTTAGGAAGCAAAGAAGGGACCTAACCCGCTCATGAGACGTAATAGCGTTACCCCTCTAGCAAGCCCAGAGCCCACCAAAAAACCTCGCATCAACAGCTTTGAGGAGCATGTGGCTGTTTCTTCTGCCCTGCCAGGCTGTGTTCCTCAGGAAGTGCCCACGCAGATGCCGGGACAAGTTAGTTGAAATCTCTCTTTTTTTTTTTTTTTTCCTTTTGTTGTTGTTCTTGTTGTTTTATTGTTTGTTGTCCTCCTGTCACTCCTGAAGCTGAGGAACTGCTTGCACTTGTCGCAACCTGTGCTGCTGTCTCTGAGATGCATCTTCCTCCCACGGCTGCTGTCCTTCCCTGCCTTGGGTTGGTCTCAGGAGTGCCCGGCGAAGGGTCCCTGTTGATCCTCTCTTGGGTTTTGAGAGCGTCATGAACTCCCCCCAGTGGGCTGTGTTAATTTAGTGCCTTCACTGTCCAGCATCGTGGTGTCAGACTCTCAGGGAGCTACATTTCTAGAGGGAGCAGGACCAAAGGGCTTGTGCCTTCTCTCTGTGTGTGCTCGGCTCCAGTGTAGACCTGGGCATTGCAATAAAGCAAATGTTCTTGTGCTTCCCTCGAGACGGAGCTACCAAGACTCATCTTTGGCTGGAGAGATCTCTTTCCTGGAACAATAGGCAAAATGGACCAAAATTGAGTAGAAGCTTCTTGGTGTGGTGAACCTGAGTTGAAACCCTGTGGGTGGTTGCTGTGGTGCTCACGTACCCTCTCTCACCCACCCGTGAAGAGATGTAGGAAGAGAGACCTTGCTGAATGCACGCTTCTCCAGGAACAAACCCCCTTCCCTGAGCTCATAAAGGAACTGGGATGGTACTGGAGAAGCAGCACGGGAGCTGCTTTGCCATGCTGCCCTTCCTGCCAGCTGCCTGTTGGATCTCACTGTCTTGCCCAACCCCTCTTTCTGTTATCTGTGTTGTCTGGTATCCTCTTGCCCCTCCTCAGCCAGATCACGGGCAGGTTAGGAATGGTTCTGTGCTCCCAAATTGCTCTGCTTGGTTGCTGCTTTGCATGAGCCTCCCACCCCAGCAAGCACCAAGTGGGACAGCCCAGCCTGTCTTTTTCAGCTTTTGGGGTCTGCTTGGGCTGGTTGAGTCTTACACAAACTCTTTGCTGGCTCCGGGTTTGGAAGCTCTGGCTGTCGGGTGCCGTCCATTGTCCTCTGCCCAGTCTGGCACAGCGTTACTGACACCTCTCTCTCCGTTCTCTCTGTCTCTCTGCAGCCTTTACTAGGGAAGGCATGCCTGTAAGTACCTTCTTGCGTCTTATTCCCCCTTCCAACCCTTTTCCATGTCTCTTGCCATCCCACTGGTTGTTTTGTTGGGAAATCTGACTGGGGTGTGGACTTTTCGGAGTTAATATTTCTCTGTTTTGAGGGGAATTTGTCTTAGGAAAGGTAGAGGAGACCATGGATGTTGTTTTGTCCAACCCCTGAATATCCTAGCTTGGTTAAATGTCCCAAGTTTGTTGTGAAATGAAGCAAGTTATCACTTGCATTCTGTTGATGATGCCTACATTCCCTGGACAGTCATGGGATGGGAGGTACTGTTGGGTTTTCCTGAAGTTGTCTTCTCTGTGATGGCACATTGTGCTGTAGGTGATAGACCTGGATGATCTGTTCTTCCTAAGGGCTCTGAGTTGTGTCTATGAGTGATGGCACCAGAGAAGGTTCTGACCTTCTCAGAAGTGTGTCTTCTGGAGCTGGATTGATCCTGGAACCAGGCATCTGCAGTTCTGCAAACCTGGATTTTGGGAACAGGCATCTGCAGTTCTGCAAACCTGGATTTTGGGAACAGTCAGCTTAGATGTCATGGGCAGAGTAGATGCAAATTTCCTTCTCTATTAAGAAATGAAAAAACCTTGAGCATTTAATGCACTAATTATGAGTAATCAAGACTGATGGTTTGGCTTAGTGCTGTTAGATGCTTATGTAACAGGGTCAGGACAACTTCTGGGTGAATTTGAAGCCTTTGGACTCAATTTATGCTACATCATTGACTTGAGAGCACAACAGTTGTAGAGATGTGCTCAAATATCTTCTCAAAGACTGAGAAGACTTTGGGGCTGAGTTGGGCCTGGGGTAGTGCCCGGGGTCTGCTAGAGTAAAAGTTTTTGAAAAAAGGGAAGTTAGGAAATTAAGTTGCTCAGCATGGCTTGTATGCCTGTGCTCCTTTCCTTGCTGCTCATGGGCACAAAAGTCCCTGATGAAATGTCTAGTCTTCTTGGGTTGCTTTGAATGTTTGTTGTTTTTTTTTTTTTTTTTTTTTGGTCCATCCCTCCATCCACCTTTTCCCCATCCGTATTTCAATAAAAAAGCACTGCATGCCTCAGTGCTGACTGGGACACTGAAAACACTCCCTGGTGTTGAATTTGAGGGGTGGCTGTGTCAGATTTAGCTGGACCAAGAGCTCTACTGGAGCAGGCAGTGATGGTTACCCATCCCAGGTGTAGGCTGGCAGTGGCAAGTTTAAAATCTCCAGCTGCTGGGAACCTGCCTCCACCTGCTCGTGTGGGACTTGCGGAAAGGCTGCTTTTGTGGGACCCATGAAGACACCCTAAACTAAAGGCTTGGTGACATTCATGCTGTTGTTAACTCTCAGAGGCTGTTGTCTTACATTTGGTCATTTGCTTTGTCCCATCACCACTTGTTTGGGGTCAGGGGAGGTGGAAGGTACCTCATTTCCAATTTGCACCATGAGACTGGGTTGGCAGTGAGCGTTTTGTTGCATTAACCTTTGCTATTGGGGTCTTGATTCCCATCCAGGAGGATCAGGGGACACCTGGAAAGGCAGGCAACATGGCTGTGGGATTGAGCTGGTTTGGGATTGTGGGACTACCTGCTGTGATGATTTCTTTTCCTTTTGCTTGGTTTGTGATCCAAAGTGCACTTTTTAACAACCACCTGATCCCCTCCCTTCTTCTCCCCTTCACTTTTCATGCTTAAAGAAGACCCGTTTGTCACTTTCTCAAAGTTTTCTCTTTACTAATATTTCCAAGGTAAATGGCTCTGGTGCATGTGGCTTTTCCTGATCCTCCTTCTGTCTCCTTAGATAACAGAGAGAGCAGCTCTGCCTTGTAGCATGGCTGGGATTCCTGGTGCTTGTAAGAGGCAGCTTAGGTAGAAAAATCAAATAAAATAAAAAATACTACTCCAAAAAATAGAAACCTTCCTAGCTGTTTCCTAGTCCTTCTTTCCCCTACCCTGTTTTGTGTAGTTTTGTGAGTTGGGCAGTGTCCTTGTGGTCATCTCCCCTGGGTTTCTCTTTGAGCGGATGCTTTCCTTGGGCCTGGTCCTGCTTGTGTTCAGATGATTGTCTCTGGTTTTGTGGTTCCCACCACACACTGGTGGATACCTGTTGTCACCCTGTATCAGGGCTGTGTCTGGAGTGTCTCTAGGGCCCATGAAACCTCATGGGGTTGTCACTGGGGGAGTGTGTGCTCCTGCCATACCAATGGTGGTGGCTGGTCCCCATGCTGGGGACCTCATTGGCATGGCTGGGGGGAGTTGCCTCTTCTTGTCAGTGCTGAGGATGGACAAACAATGACCTTGCCCTTGGCAGGCAGAGGGGACACTGCCCACCCTCAAGGGGAACAAGAGAGATGTTTAATTGGGCACCTTGACTGAACACCGTGGTCCTCTGTCACCTTGCCTTGCAGGGACCACAGAGCAGCTTCAGAAGTGCGAACCAGGTGGGGTGGGAGGATTGCCTTGGGTTTAGTTCAGTTTTTAGGGTTATCTCTGTCAAATTCCCACCCTGTAGTTAAAGCCAGGCGATGCTTGAGGGGACAGGTGTGGGTAGCCAGCCAGCATATCCTCCCCCCACAGAATCACATAATATTGTATTGGAAGGGACCCGCAAGGATCATCAAGTCCAACTCTTCATCCAGTGCCCCGCACAGGGATTGAACTCATGACCTTGATGTTTTCAGTACCGTGTTCCAACCAAATGAGCTGATCTCAGGGTCATTCCCTCTCCCTGGGTGGACAGTGTCCTCTCCTCTGTGGCGGATGCTTCTGTAGTGACCCGTCCGTGCTTTGTTACCCTCCGTCCCTGTGTTGACGTGTACGTAGAAGACGCTGCAGGTCTGACCCAAGCACAACCCTCTCAACCCCTTCTCCTTCCCCTCTCGTTTCAGAACATGAACAACTCACAGAAGCCGTCGTGACTCCGTTGGCACTGTCGCAAGGCCGCCGGCGACGCCAGCTTCCCATCCCACTGCCATTCCCGAAGCTTGCTTATCCACCGGGCTCCTCCGTCTGCGGCGAGGGCGACCCTCAGCTGTTCCTGCTCATGCCCGTTCATCCGCAAACCGCTCTGCTGCCGGGGGGAGGGATGCAGGAGAGCGGAGGAGAGGAGCTGAGCTCCCCCCGGGGGTCAGCACCAGCTCTTCAGGCCGCAGCGTTTGCTCTCCTCTCCAGCGTCCTGTAGGGTCGTAGCGAAGTTGTAAAGTGCTTTCTAGCGCACAGGAGTTTTAATTTTTCCTCTCTAAGCGGTTTTGATCTTCTGTATAGATGATTGGTACCCACTTGTCTGCGGGTGGGGCGTGTATATATGTGGATGGTGCGGGGTTAGTGGAGAAATAGGGGGAAGGGAGGGTGGGCAAAGGGGTTTTGCATTTTTTTTTTCTTAATTATTATTATTATTAATTCTTGGTAAGCCCCTCCCAAGCTGTGCTGCAGTCCTTCACCCACGCTACAGCCTGTCGCACGCGTCAACCTGGCTCACCCAGGTCTGCGAGCACCAGGAAGGCAACTGAGTGAACTCCTTCACTGCTAGGTTTAACTAAAAAACCCCATTCTTTCCTTTTTTCTTTTTTTTTTTTTTTTTTTTTTTTTTTTTTTTTTTTTTTTAAAATCAGTAACACCTTAAAGGGGTTTGCAGGGAATGTAGGTCTGCTGCCAACACTGGTTACAAGCCGCCTGTAGTGTAGGAGGAACCACACTGCTGGTGGCTTGGGTGATGCTTTCATCTCGGGGAGCACCCAGGGATGGTCTGAGTTCAGGCGTGGTTGATATTTAGGGGGAGACTGAGCACTGTTTTGAGGTGCTGTGCTGGTACTCCATCTCCCCTTTCCTCTTTCTTGGAGGAAAGAGGAAGTATTGGGAGGGGTTTGAATCCCTAGGCTGAGCTTAGATGCGTTTTGTAGACACACAGGTCTCATGGAGGTGGCCAGAAGTCTGGCCGGGTTGCAGGAGTCCCTGTCTGGCTGCAAAAAGCCACGAGAAGGGACAGTTTTGTCTATATTCTTTTTTTAATTTTATATATACATGCACATACGTGTGTGTGTGTATACATAGAAACCGCTTGGTTTTTGCACTTTATTTGTGGCAGGAGCATAACTATTGTATTTTTTTCAAGTCGTGCCCCTTAACAGGGGAAGCCTGAATACAGGCAACTGTTTGGTTTTTTGTTTGTTTTTAATTGTATTTTGCATGCTGGAAAGCTGGGACTACAAAATAATAGTAGTTACAGTGTTCAAGGTGTGTGTGTGGGGTGGGGGGGGGAATGGGGTGAGGTCCTGACTTTGACTCCATCAGCCAAAGTCCCAGTGGTTTGATACAAGAGATTCCTTGTTGGCAGCCTGCCCTAGGCTGAGAGACAGCAGTTAAAAATGGCAATTAACCACTACTGCTTTGTGGAAAAGTCTGTGGATTTTGAAGTTATCTTTTTTTTTTTTTTTTCCTAGGGTTTTGGGTTGGGCTTTGGTTTGTTCCCCACCTACGTGCAGCATCTCCTCCATCCCCATCTCATGGGTTTTTTTTGGCTGGAGGCAGGAGGTGAAGTTAAGCTGCCTCTCCTGCAGAGCTGGGCGGAGAGGTCTGGGGAGAAGTTATGACTTTTTTTTTTTTTTTTTTTTTGTGTGTGCATGTTTTTGGGGGGTTTGGTCTGTTTTTCCTTTGGGAAAAGGCGAACCACAGTGCCTAACGCTTCAGCCTCGCGCTTGGAGCGGCACCAACGGCGGGAGGGGGCCGGGACCACGCTCAGCCCGTGTCCTACAGTGCCCTGCCTGTGTGAGCTTGTGCATATGTGTATTATATTCCTGTACAGATGAAACCAAGAACACTTACCCCTACTTCATTCATTTCTTAATAACCTCATTAAAAGCAGCCTCTTTCTCCCTGTGTGCACGGGTGGGATCTGCCCTTTTGGTTTCTCTGCCTTTGAGATAAACGAATGTTTCGGGGAGGTGACTTCACTTGGCTTTTCCAACCTCCTTCCTGGGGAGTTTTATCTCCCACCTCCTGCTGCAAAAAGATAAGCCAGCAAATACAAACATGACGTCTGGCTGCCCTGAGATCAACCCTGTACACATGTAATTCTGCGGATGTTTTGGTGTGTATTTGTGTGTGTATATATATATATAAATATATATATATAAAACCAGAAAAAAATGGCCCTAAACTTTCTTCCTTTGGGAATAATAGATGTCTCAGTAGGTCCATGAAAAAATGAAATTTGAACATGGCATTTTCTCCAGCAATGGGAAAACTGGTCTCTGAGGTCCTCTTGTGCTGGAGGGGTTGGTGGGATGGTGCCATCACACTGCCCCAAAAACTCACTGCCCATTGCTTTTGGTTAACAGACAAGGCAGGGTGGGAAAGAGGACTTGTCAAACCACACCAGTGATTTCTTCCCCCCTCTTTCCCCCTGGTTTTGTTTTCCTTTGTGATACTTGAATTTATTTTTTTAATTTTTTTTGATAGCAAAGCATTCTTTATTTATTTAATGTATACTGCAAAGCTTGGAGAGAAGGGTGTAGTTACTTGGGGTTACTTTTTTTTTTTTGATTTGTGGTATGTTAACTGTTCTGTATATAGGTCTGGAATAATTGCCTGATATAAAGCTGTGCCAGCTTAAAAACAGGGTCTGCCTTTCAGAAATTTGTATATTTTGCAGTTGCTGGACCAATAAAATACCTTGTTGAAATACAGATGTGACCTGGTTCTTCCTTGTATTAGGAATTATGCTCTCAGGCCCTAAGGGTCACTGTGTGCCACACAGTGCTGCCTCACACATATATTCCTGTGCCTTGTAAATAAATATTCTCATGAAAGACAAATAGTGGATGCTCCATCTCTGGAAGTGTTCCAGGCTGAGTTGGATGAGGCTTGGAGCAACCTGGTCTAGTGGAAGGTGTCCTGCCCATGGCTCTACCTGCTACATCACCCTTTAGTAGGGAGGTGATGTCTTGGAACCTGTCCTGCCTAGATCTTCATCTAGCCTGCAAATTAGACATGAGAGGCATTTATTCAAACCTAGTCTACTTCTTGAAATCAAATACCTGCTTAAAGTGATTAGGTGCTAAATGAAGGGCTGAGCAAGAGCTGGCCTCTGAGATCACAGCTGTCTTTGCCCCCAAGGCAGGGAAACAGCAAATGCCACCTGCAAGCAAAGTTGTAAAGGTCTCTGCAGAGTTCTGTTTTGGGTTGTTTTTCTTAAATTGTTTATTTCTGGTTCCAGAGAAAGAGTGGGAGAAGGCAGGGAACGGTGTAATTTGACGTGATTTTCCGGAGCACATCTTGGGTGGATGCTTCCCATGTCATTGCAGGCTTGTCCTCCACCAGCAGCTGTAACTCGAAAAGCTTGTCAGGAGCAAAAGGGGCAAAAAGGTGGAGACCACTGTGTATCCTAGCTCAGCTCTGGGGTTACCTCCTGCTGGCTCCTGTGCAGTCCTTGCTCTGATCTCCCCTGGGGTGTCAGAGCCTGTCAAGCCTTGCTTTGGGCTGTGGCTTGCTGGGATGCACAAAGATCTGTCTTCTCTCTTCTCCTAATTGCTCTGTGCTTCAGAACCTCTCACCAGGAAGGAGGTTCTCATTTTAAGCTTGATAGAGGCACCTGCAACAATATTTTCTAGGTGAACGTGCAGACATGTGAGACTGGGGTGATGTTCATCCCTGCAACCATCCTGAGGGCAGGGAGGACCCGTTCTTTCTGGGAAATCCGGAAACCACAAGATTTTCAATTTCTTTCTTTTTTTTTTTTTTTCCCAATCTCTAGTAGCCCAGCCATCTCCTTGACCCAAACAGAGACAAAACACTTGCCTTATTTTAAGGCAAAGAGCGTAGCCTTGCACCCACCTCACAGGGAGTCTGGCACAAGTGTGGGGGGCCCTGATAAGGCCTCCAGCCGAGGTGAGCCGAGGTTACACGTAGCCACAACATCAGTTCAGCTCTCCTGCCTTCCCCGGGGCAGGCAGGGGCTGATTTGAAGCCATAACAACCTTGTACTTGTGGGGGGAGCACAGGGGGAAGGCTTTGCCTCCCGGAGCGTGGCTGTGGGCAGCGCTTCCAAGGCTGCTCTGCAAGAAAATGCCACCTCCAAAAAGTCTTTTCTCCTCTTTCTATGTGTGTGATGGGGCTTGTATCAAGACATCCCTGCAGGAGAGCCAAGCAAGGAAGGGGAGTCAATGTCAAAGCCATCTCAGGCAGCATCCTTTATTTTTCTTCCATGTGATGCAGTTTCTAGCATCTCAGAGAGGAGAGGTTCCTTGAGGCAGGGCAGCTTTAAAGGTTATACTTGACAGCAGGAACATTTCTCTGCTTCCAGTCGAGTCCCATTTTTATTAAAATTAAAAAAAAAGAAATAACCCCCCAGCTCACTGCTGGCAAACAGGGCGAGAGAACTTGTGATTGCTAAAAAAAAAAAAGAAAAAGGACAGCCCAGTCACGCTGGCTGACTCAGCTCTGATTGATGGCTCAGGAATGTGTCTGGGATTAAATAAACCACGGGCAAACCTTTACAATGCAACATGTTGGATGAAGCACAGCAGGCACCAGGCTCACCTGCCTCCAGCTGGGGAGTGACAGCCCTCATGTCATGGGATTGGAGGGGATTTTTTTCTTTTTTATCTATCTGTGAGGAAAAAAATAAATAAATTGATATTTTTGGGAATTGCTTTGCAAGGGGTTCTAATGGGAATTATTTGCAACAGCTCCAGGTATTCAGATGCATTTGTGCACTTTTGCTACAACCAACACGTCCTGGGAAGGAATATGTTTGTGCTGAAACATAGAGAATTTATTTTACAGCTCTGCACAGAACTGTGTAAATCACAGTCTTGCTGCTCCGTGCTAAACTTTGCTAAGTGTCAGGGTCCCTTCCCCACCTCAAGGGTTGGCTCAGAGCCCAGGCTTCATCCATGGCCACGAGAAAGCTGCGTGGATGTGAGTATTTCACGCTTGCATTTCCCTTGCTCATGTGTCCATCTGTGTCTTCTCTGAGGCTAAGGGGTGTAATGGGGCAGCACCAGTCTTGTCTCCCTGAGCTGTCCTTTCCCCAGGTGTGTAACAGCCTATTCCCATTCCCTGGGTGTGAAAGAGCCCATTTCCATGCCTGGTCAGGCTCAGGGTGGGTCTGGAGGGTGCAAATTCTCTCCTGGCAATTTCATGCCCCAAATAAAACCCTCCTGGTGTGGCTGCCTGAGCCCTTCTCCCACCTCACCTCTGCCCATTGAGGGATCCCCTGACCCTGGCCCTGGCCTTGCTCATCTCAGCAACAGCCATCCAGTCTACAGTTGGACCTGTTCAGATGCTCCTAAGCCCTGTGAGTTGGTCCTGCTAGAGAAACCTCCATCTGCAGCCTTTCTGTTA